ATAGTGAATATAACAGTGATAAATAAAGATAACAAGTTACAATAATGATAAATAATGAAAACGATGATAATAACAACAAAAATTAATAACTAAATAATAGTCATGAAACAAAAGCAAATGGAATATCTGAGTTCTTTCAGGATCCCAGATGCGACCTATCGATGTGCTGCCTATATATGACATGTGGTGAATGTATTCTTGGTGAAGAATGTTTTTTTAGGCATCCCGAAATGGAATGTCACCCGAATTAACGCTAAAACCTCAATGCAAAATCACACTAAATTAAATGAAATCTGAAATCTCTCACAGTCTCTTAAAATATCGTCTTTTTCGACGATTTTGATAGTATAATTCATTGTTTACGATCGTCTGCTATGTTTGCCGTTCAGTGTCTATCTAGATGAATTGCTTTGTCATTGAGAGAACCAATTGATTGTTTGCAAAGAAATACTTCAGGTTTTTGATCTCGTTAGCACAATCGCTTAGAGCGGCAGCGATTCAACCACACGAAATGCTATTATGCAATGCGATTTGCAATTCTAATAATAATGATCTATAAAAGAGTAATGATTCCAATATGTTTAATTAATATAGAAACGAAGAATACAGTCCACAGCGATTTATTCATTCATGAGACTTTATAATCCACTCTCTCACAAATATATCCATTTCTGCGGAGCAAAGAAAATATTTCCGAAAAGTTCGAAAAGTATCTCAATTTGTTCATTTTAAATAAGAGTGTTTCCGAAAAATTTCCATCTTTATTTGGTATCTTTGCTACTTTTCCACTCACAGTTTCCAAATAGACGTTCGATGAAATAATTTCCTATGTTAAAGCGTTATTTTTCAAGGTGTTGTTTGCATTTGTATTCGTTTTTGTTTTACATATTATAATTTTTTCATTACAGTGGAATTTTTTTTTTTGCATTTTTAGCACTTATTTTGGGTTGTTTTCTGATTCGATATATCAGAAACGTTGTCTGTATGATACAATTATGCAATTCTTATTTCTTTACATTATCATATCTTGTCAGGAATTCGTTCGAGGTGCGAAAAATAAAAGTATTCATTGTATACACAGACGATTTCATTCAAACAATAAGTTCCTCTTGAATAAAAGCATAATTTCATTGCTTGTTTCCATTTACGGGCAAAATCGTGGAANATACTGAAAGCAGTTTATCACTATCAACTAGGTTACCTAGTCATCTGTTAACACATTCAACAGCGCCACTACTTTTGTCGTTTCAACAGATACTGAACTGTTCTTATTGTCTCTGTATTCATTAAAAGCTAGTGCTGAATCGGATCCGATCACACAACAATCTTCAATAATACTCACCTCGATACCTTTCTCTTCCAGGATTTTCTTGGTCTCCAAATTGCCCTGTTCATTGACATCCCAAAGGACCAGACGAGCACCCAATTGGCCGAACTGCAATCAAGTTTGTTGCAATCGCTATCGCTTGTGCATTCAACGAAAACGCAATGAGAAACTACTGTGAGAAGTTACTGATAATTACTACAAAACTTCAATGGGACCATTCGGCAATCATAAAACAAACATAAAATGTATTACTTCGACTGCCATCAGACGTCCTATACCACTTCCAGAACCGGTAATGAGAACCACTTGACCTCTAACAGATTTTCGTGGCATAGTACCGATTGGCATTAGTGCTTTAACAGTGCCAACAAGCGTTTCGTAGAGTATGCGCAGAATCAACACAAACATTGAGAGGTAATTCTCGATGGTCGATTCAGCTACGGCTGAAAGTAATTAAATGAATGAGGAATGTATTTAGATCATTTTTTCATTACCAAAATTTCTATTGAGATGGGTCATTACTTAAATATGTAGTTGAAGTTTTCAG